TGAAGTAGGTATTCAGGCTAAAGCAAAATTCCAAAGGTAAAATCAACAAATATAAGGCCCGATTGGTTGTAAAGGGCTTTGTGCAAGTATCTGGTGTTGATTTTGCTTAAACGTTCGCACTAGTAGCAAGACATGAAGTCATACGTCTCATTTTGGCACTTGCAGCTTAGTTTCAATGGCGAGTAATGCATTTTGGATGTCAAGGCTGCCTTCTTAAATGGTGATCTGAAGGAAGAAATATTTGTGGAGCAGCTGAGGGATTTATAGTTGCAGGAAAAGAAGATCACGTGTATGTCTTGCATAAGGCTTTATATGGATTGAAGCAGGCACCTCGAGCTTGGTATGAGAAATTAAATGATTATATCCTACAATGTGGCTTCATGAGAAGCCAAACTGAAGCTACATTGTACGCCAAAATTGAAGGAGAATTAAAGATATTCACTGCTGTGTATGTAGACGACATATTGGTTACGGGAAACAATGAAGCAGAGATAGATGGATTCAAGAAGCAGTTAGAAGATCAATTTGAGATGTCAAGTCTAGGGGGAGTTGCTTATTTTCTTGGACTGGAGATCAATCAAACAAAGGGAGGAATCTTCCTAAGTCAGTCCAAATATGCTCGGAAAATCTTGAGTAAATTTAAAATGGAGAGGTGTAAAGCTGTAGGGACTCCATTAACGCCTAACCTAAAGCTGTCAAAGGATGAAGGTGGAAGTGAGTTTGATGAGGGTACCTATCGAAGTCTGGTTGGTAGTCTTCTCTATCTCACTGCCTCAAGGCCAGACATGCTATACGCAGTGAGCCTTTTGTCAAGATTTATGGCAGCTCCCAAACAGATGCACATGGCAGCAGCTAAGAATGTGCTGAGGTACCTACGGGGGACCTGTAATGGTATGATGCCAAAGTGGGTGAGCTGCAAGGATATACAAATAGTGATTGGGCTGGCTGTATGGATGATGCAAAGAGTACTTCTGGTTATATATTTTCTTTTAGCTCAAGAGCTTTCTCGTGAGCTTCAAAGAAACAGTAGATAGTTGCACAATCAACAGCTGAAGCGGAATACATTGCAGCTGCTGCGGCTTCAAATCAAGCCATCTGGTTGAGGCAAGTAATGGCAGACTTGGGGCATGCATTACACAGACCAACTGTGATACAGGTAGACAACAAGTCTGCAATTGCTATCACCAAAAATCCAGTCATGCATGGACGAACCAAGCATATCAAAGTCAAGTTCCATGCTATTCGAGATGCTATGAAAAATGAAGAAATTGGCCCTTCTACACTGCCCAACTGATGAGCAACTTGCAGACATCTTTACAAAGTTATTGTCTAATGCTAAGTTCGAGGACTTGCGAAGAAAATTGGAATTGTGATAAATCATTACGAGTGTTGATT